CAGCACTTTGGGAGGTGAAGGTGAGAGGATTGCCTAAGCTCAGGGGTTGGAGACCAGCCTGGGCAACTTGATGAGACCTCGTCTCTACAATAAATCACAAAAAAAAACCTGGCCAGGCATAGTGGTGTGCGTCTGGTCTGTAGTTTCAGCTACTTAAAAGGTTGTGGTGGAAAGATCACCTAAGTGCAGCAGGTAGAGGCTGCAGTGGCCGTGAGTGTGCCGCTGCACTCCAGCCTGGGCGAAAAGAGTGAGACTCCAACAAAAAAAAAAAAAAAAAAAAAAGATAATATTGCTAATAGAAAACTGAGATGTAGACGTGGATAGGCAATTCACAAAAGAAGATAGTCAAATGGTCACTCAACATTTAAAAATCTCTTTGTGCTAGTAATCAAAGGTGTGAAAATTAAAGTAATTGTCAATATTTTGATCATGATATTCAGCATTAGTGAGAGAAAAGAATAAAAATAAACACATGTAATTCCATACATCAGAGGTAAATTGACACAATCTTTCTGGAAAGTTACTTGCAATATATATTTTTTTCTTTATTCTTTAAATTGCCAAAAGTTTTATTTCCTCCAGAAATTCTGCTTCTAGTAATTTATCCTATAAATTAAGAAATAATATTATAAATACATATTATAATTATAATAGACTTTATAATAATATATAAAATAAGTAATATAAAGTAATTTTATAAAGTAAGTTTACATTATTCATATATAATGTATAATACAAAGGGGCTTCCCCAAAAAAACAGAATTTGTGTATTAAAAATTATGTATTTATTTTGACATGTCTAAACGGTCACCTTCAAGGTACTCTCTGTTTGAAGCAATACACCTATAGAGAGATGCTTTTTCTAATGCTCAAAATAGCTTTAGAACTCCTCAATTTTGATGTCTTTTAGTGTTTCTGCCATTTTTTGCTTCACCTCTTCCACATTGGCAAAACATTTCCCTTTGAGGACTTTACTCATCAAGGAAACAAACAAAAACAGTCACTTGGGGCAAGAGCAGGTAAATAAGAAGGGTAAGGCACATGGGTCATGTTGTTTTTGGTCAAAAACTACTGAACACTCATCGTGGTGTGGGTAGGTGCATCATCATGGTGGAAGACACAGTCACCTGTTTACCACTACTCGGAATGTTTCTTCTGCAATGCAGCCTCTCACAACAACACTAGCTCGGACGCTAATGCTGAAGGGTTCCTAGAACACTTGCCTAGCGGGGAAAGCCCTCCAAAAGCCAATTCCAGTTTTTTGGGGAGGGTCCTCCTCTTATATATGCAAAAAATGTTTATGTAGAAGGATTTTAATTTCAGTATTCTCTTTAAGAGAAAAAGGTTGGAAAAATCTAAATGGGAAATGACAGGAACTTATTTCACTAAATTCTCATGAGAGATATTCTATAGTCATTAAAAAGCAAATTACACGGGGAGACACCTCTTATCAGCAAGGGTGCCTGAACGAAACATATTTGTATACCTAACCCTTAACTGTACCCCACAATATCACAATAAAAAATAAAAAAGAAAAGCACAATAAAAAAGAAAAGCAAATTACAAAAAATAATATTATAAAAGAATGTTAAATAATATGGACAAATCTTCATGATACAATGTGAAAAATACCAGATATTAAAACATGTACAGGATAACAAGAAAAACATAAAGCAAGATACTAGCTGCTCTGCTGCTTGTGTTGAAATTATAGGTGGCTCTAATCTTTTCTATATTTCCCAAAATGTCTACAAATAACATGGGTTACTCTCATTATTTAAAACCACAGTCAATGCTGTTAACTAAGTATAAATGATTTCATTGTCCATGTGTTCCCATAACGATGTACCAGCTCATTGCTACTTGGTGAGGTATTGGGCACCAATGGAAGTTTAAGCAGGAATATCAAGTCACATGCATCAGTGGGGCCCAGGGTGGAATTCAAGAATCAAAGTTTCAGCTCTATGTAAAAATGATATGTAGCATTGAGATTTTTTCCTATACTTCAAAAAAAATTTAAAAGGCAACCTAGAAAATCATCTGTGACTGAGAAATAGCATAGTAGAAACAGTGGTTCTAGCATTTGGAGACACGTTAGACATAGGCCCAGTTTAAACATAGGCTTAAACACAGAGGTTACCTATGAAGTCATGGTAATTTCAAGGATGACTATTTGCTCAAAATATTGCCTCATGGTCACCATTTGAGTGAAAAATGTGCTAGGTAAGAAAGATAAAGGTAGTCTCAGATAAATTACAAATGTACCCTCAAACAGTAATTCCAAATTCCAACCAGTGACCAGAAACTCTTGGGGACATTTGGTTAAAATGTCTCTATGTGGAGACTCTGATGTAATAAACCTAGGTTAGTACCGAGAAATTAATCTAGGTTAGTACCAAAGAAATCTGCAATCTTAAATGATCATCATGTAGGATATTGTGTGTAATGGTTAAACAGAAATGTCAGCTGAGCTACCACTGCATATTTTTTATCCCCTGTGGGGAATCTGTGATCAATTTAAAAGATAATCCCTGAGTCATATTAGTTAGCTGGTTCCCTTGGTTCCTAAATACAGAGGAACTAGAATTCCAAGTGCATATATCTTTAATAGTTCATTGCATACTTTCAGTTTGATTTGTATAATAAAATATATTTTTCATGCCATAGTGTGGAATTAATAACTTTCAATTATCCTTTCTATTAGCTTCTTAAAATCATGAGTTAACTAACCTTTTTAGATGCTGTTTTGTATATTCAAACAAAAGGAAGGTACCTTTTTATTTTATTTGAAGCAGTGATGCCTGAATATTCAAAATTGTGAAGTCTGAATGTGCAAAATCAGATATATAACATTTTTTACTAAACAATACCTAGGAAAGCATTTTTTTAGACTTACATATTACATATCACCCAGGAATAGTCTCTGTGTTTCTGCTCTTTGCACATTGACCAATAATTGACCATCAGATTATCTTCTTTAGTGGTTTTACACTGTGGCTTTACTTCAAGGCCTAGGGATTCATTTGATCCTCTGTGTGCACATAAGGGGGTCGAGTTAAAGTCTGAGGATTGGGATCCTCCCATTCCCCCATCCTTTATTCCATGACTTTTGCTACTCTCAGTCTTGCCTCAAAAGTTCTATTCAAGAATTTTGCACATTAAGTTTCTGTGTGTGCCTTTATTGGAAAATGAGTTCTCATTTTAAAAGGGGGATATTCAAGACTAATAATCATTGGATTTGTTCATCCAAACTTATAAAAATTAGCCTTTCTGTCCGACTGATTATTCTGAATCAAAGCTGAATAAGAGCTTATTATTAGTGAAGGAAAAAGGAATTCAAACAGACAAGTTACCGGCATTAATGGCTGAAAAGTGCCAAAAATTGCCCAAGGGCTTCAGAAAGTCTTTTCTGGTTGTTGACATTTAAAGTGAAGTATGAAAATTAATAGCAATTTGTCAGACAACTTTGGGAGGAAGATATTGCTGGCAATGAGAACATGATATAGAAAGTCCTGACCTTTTGAATAATGCTGCAGTGAACATGAGTGTAGAGATATCCCTTTGAATCCTGATCTTAATTATTTTCAATATGTACCCAGAAGTGAGATTGTTGGATCATATGGTGATTCTATTTTTAACTTTTTTGAGGAGCCTCCACACTGTATTCTAGGGTACCTGCACCAGTTTACATTCCCACTGATATTGTACAAGGGCACTACATGATCATACTCATATGTGCTATCAAAATAGTCAAGCTAATTGAAGCAGGAACTAGAATGGCGATTGCTGGGGATGAAAGGTAGGGAGAAATGAGGATAAAGTTACATTTATACTAGATTAGTAAGTTCTTAAGATCTGATGTACAACATGGTGCCTATAGTTAACAATATAGTATTATGCACTTAAAAATTGGTTAAGGGAGTAAATCTCATGCTAAATGTTCTTGCCACAAAAAATAAATAAATAATACAAAAGGACAAAAGGAAACTCGTGGAAGTGATGAACATCTTTAACACTTTGTGCAGATGGTATCATGGATGTATGTATATTTCCAAACTCATATATGTTAAATATGTATGTATTTGTGTGTATTAATTATATCTCAATAAAGCCACTGAAAAAAATTAAAGATCCTGATATGTCTTAGAATGATGAAAAATTCCTTGTGGCAAAAATGTAGATCCATAGTGAAGGGGATAGGAGATGATACTAAGACCATTTTTACCTCCAACTAAAAAAATTGGATTTAAGAAAATTTGGATATAGATAGCAAGGAGCTAGCATTAATCAGGAAAGTAACTTGGCCAGAATCTTCTGTTTTTAAGACAACATATGTGATGGCAGAACAATAGATGAATACAGGCAGCAATGGAATAGGACTCATGGCAGGGAAACCAGGTAAAAGTTGAAGTTGAATTTTACAAAAAATTAAGAGAGTAGCAGCATTTTCAAGACAGAAATTAATAATCTTTGCTTAGATGCAAAGATCAAGAGGATGAGCTTCAGGAAAATAAGTCTGTGACAAAGGGTGACAATGATGAAATAATAGGGAAGGAGAACCTAGGGTCACAGGGCAGTTGGAGTATGGAAATGTTAAGATGATATACCCATTTCATGGGGAAGTATAAAGAACAGAAAACTCATTTCTACTTCAGTTCTGTTGTGAGTGTGTGAAAAAGGAACATCTAAAACCTAATTAAAGGGCAAGCAAGAATAGGCTTAGTGTCCATAGGCAATAAGAAAATTCCACTTCCTGTTTCATCATTATCCTTAGAAACACTTTGCGAAGACTTGATCCTATTGTTCTCTGAAATCTCTGACCCTGATGTCTACTTAAGTGTCAGAGTAGGGGTTTTCCCATGGTCCAGAGTAATATTTGAAATCTTTATATGTTCAAGGCCAGTTTATTAGACACTTGAGGCTGTGAACAATTCTCTTTCCTTACACGTACAAAGCCCAACTCACTGACAGTGTAGATCACAAAACAAGGAAACATTAACTTATTGAAACAGAGACTGTTTAATTAATAAATCTTTTTTAAAGTTTTCTGTTACAGATCCTACATAAATAAATATTGTTTTAAAAATGGACTTTTAAACCTCAGTTTTTAGTTAGCCTCATAGTTTTCTAGGAGAAAGATCTTTCTTCCTAATTTGAAACTTTTCACTGTCAACTAGAATTGAAATTATGAACACTGACTCTGTCCATAAATATCCTTTCATTTACTTCTTGTTGAGCAAGATAAATGAGAAATACAAAAGAAACTTATGTGTTATTTTTAATGTCATTTATCCTATACCTTTTCCAAAAAGTTACACTCACAACCATTGGAGAGTTTTAGAGGGATAAAATGTACGAAAGAAAATTCCAACAACGTAATATATAAAAATGATGTCACATATGGAAGAATAAAAATCTTTGTTTGGGGGCTTATTGCTGTGGGAAAAAGGGCCTGATCTTCATACTCATCTTCTTTAATGAGTACCATGACCCCTTCCAGTTCATCCATACTACTCCGTCATCTGTGCCGTGCTTTGCCATGTCCCAGCTGTACTGTCCACCCCAGTAGTATCTGCCATTTGGATTGGCTGCATGACATCTGTTATACCACCATCCACCGCCATCCTCTTTAGAACACTGTTTTCTGGAATCTGTGGTCAACCTGAAAGGAAGTGTGTTTGGGGTTATTAGAAACAGAACTGCAGTGGCCAAGTTCATTAGTTTGCAAAGTACCCACAGAAAAGTGCTACGGTCAATCACTCACAGTACTCTTTCCCTTGGGTTCTATACATAGAGTCATGCTAATACATCAAAGGCCTCCTCTGCCCAATAGCAAGAAAGGGAGAGAACTGAATCAATGTGGCCAATTCATCTAAGGAGCACATTTGTTACTTTACACTGAAATGATAATTTTCAGTTCCCTTAGAATTAGAGAACACTGGAAAACATAATGAAGGTCTTAATCTACATATTAGAATACAAAGATATAGATATTTATCTAAGTGCTCATTACTCAGAATATAACTGTGCTTGAATTCCAGTTCCATCTCTTAGTAGTCGTGTGATTTTAGGCAAGTCATTTAATCTCTCTAAATTTCATCTGTAAAATCAGAATGTGTCTAACAGATAGTTGAAATGCTTTAGAGTGATATAAGAGCTTAGTGTAATAACTAACAGTAAGCGCTCAAGAAATGGTGGCTATTAATAACATTAGTTACGAATGGTTCTGGGTAATACTATCACTGGGAACTTTTAAAGCAGGAGCAAAGAGTGCAACACATACCAGCCATCATTGTCTCTGTCGTACGTGCTGAAGAACATGCCGTTGTGAATGGTCATGGTTCTGTTTTCTCCCACCAGCTGAGAGGCTCCATCCATGAGGGCATTGCCAGCTGTTCCCTTATATTTGTTAACTGAGATCTGGTATTTGTTGGCCTCATTCTGTACAGTGAATCCTCCATAGTGAGCCTTTACCTTGTCTCCTTTCCAGTCCTCCATTTCAATCAGAAGTTCTGTTGGTCCCATCCTGGTAAGCTGGCTAATCTTATCATTTCCAAGCCAATACTCACCTAAAGGAAAAACAAAGTAAAATCTCAGTTCGGGAAACCAAAAATTTCCTTTCTTCCCCCCATCTTTAGCTTTCACATTTTTGTCATTAAACTCCTCTTAACTGCTTAAAACCTAAAAATGGCTACCAATACTGTGTTTTTTTAATGAAAAAATCCATTTTAAATACATTTTACTTTGTACTCTCAGTTTTTACCTGGTACCCCACAGTAGTTTTTCCCTTCTGTATTGGTTGCAACATTTCCAAAGCCTTGTTTATATGGATCCCATTGCCTGCCAAAGTCGACACTACCATCTTGACGGTTCTGAATGACCGTCCATCCTTTGGGGAAAAAATAAAGCATATATTAACCAATGATACACAATATCACTTTGAAAAGAATGTCCTTTTTGCCCACCTATATATGGTGCTCTAACATAGGTACAATAAGGCAGTAAATGAGAGGAAAACTCAAAATCTTGGAAATTGCAAGTGCTTTATCTTACCGCAAATTGTGAATCATAGATATTTTACAACTTTTAAAATAGGAGATTGAATTCCAACTCAAATGACTCATTGTCAGCTATGTTACAACTATGTTTTATTTCCTGGAATTTTATGGTATCAAAATAATCACAGAATGATAGGTCAACAACTATCAAAAACTTACCTCCATTTTCTGTCTTCATATCACAGTATACTCTATATGGTTTGATAGAACTGTCAGGCTGAATGAGATACATTTCAGAGGTTTCACCTCCTTTTCTGATAATTTCTTCACATTCTGCAAGCATAAGATAACATGTTATGCCAACCTAGGCAACATAGCAAGACCCTGTCACTACAAAAAAATTTAAAAATTAACTGGGCATGGTAGTACATGTTTACAGTCCCAGTTACTCGAGAGGCTGAAGTGGAAGGATCACCTGAGCCCAGCAGGCCAAGGCTGTAGTGAGCCATGATCATGCCACTGCCCTTCAACCGGGGCAACAGAGTGAGATTCCCTGACTCAAAAGTAGAGAAAGAGAAAAGTATCATATTTTGTTCACAGGCCTATGCCATAATTACTTGGTCTTCAGTCACCAATTCTTTAAAATAACTGACTGCTCAGGTTACTGAGGAATGTTTTATTATAGACATTTGTGAATAATATTATAGAGATTGAATTTTCCTTTTACTAAAAATTAAACCCAGTTTTGAGAAGTTCTATCAGATAAGGGGGATGAAAAAACTCTTCTCCACTTTTTGTGTCCAGAAATATCCATAAACTACCAGAATACAAGAGATGGAAAAACTACTCCATCTATTCGTGGTCCTCCCATCTGTCTAAGCAAGTGCGCACATACACACATCAGCCACTCCTGGGAATCTTACCATCATTACACTTCATCATCATGCTCATTAAAACAGGCAAATGCACCAGGCCAAGCCAAAACATAACCAGCTAGGGATATTTTTATGAAGTACTGTAATGTCATTATGATCTATTGGGGAAATCCACTCATTTTTTTTTTTTTTTGAGTTCTTCTGGAGTTCTATAAAAAATATCTATTAGCTAGTTACCTTTGCCAGACACTACAGGAATATTGCAGCTGACAGTGCATGGGGTACGGCAATATTCCATCTGAGCGGAGACATCAGTTTCTAATTTTTGTATTTTGCTTCTCAGATTTTCCAGGATTGAACGGAGCACACGAAGGTTAGTTGGGATATTACTGTTCACAGTCTCATCTATATATAATTGATGCTTTTCCAGTTCTGAAGAGTACTCATTTATTACGTTTTCATTATCTGGAAAAATAAATTTACATTAGAGTGGTGAGAATTTTTGCCTCATAAAACTTAATAGATTTGACTACACAATTATGATTTTCATTTTCTGAGAACAAACTAATAAACATTCGGTTGCTACCAAGTAGTCATGATATACAGTTGTATTTAGGGAAAATAACTTGGTCCATGGCATATACAAATTAATTTACCATAGAAATAAGTAGAAGATTGTGCCCAGTAATAAATACAATATGCTATCTATTTCTCTGGTGAGGAAAAAGAGGAGGAAGCAATATTTTGGCCTTTCATTTCAGAAGTTCAACTTCTCACATAGTGAATATGCTTGATTTACTTATCCATTCCATGTATGTATAGCAAAGCCTTGAAATTTAGATGTCATGATTTCTCTGAGTTATCTGAAAAATATCTAACATTTGGGTATGCTACTCACTGAGATGTCTATGCCAGGCTCACACACTAACTGTTTTATAACCACCAAGCCAATAGCACTCAACACTCAGATCTCAGAACTCACAGGTTAGGTATCATTACCTATGATACAAATGAATGTATCATGAAATGCTCTTTCATATTCAAAACCTCAAATGTTAAACCTATGAACGCTAATTGTTTTGCTGTGACTATTATCTTCTAAGTCACAAGTTTCTTGTACACTAAAAATAAGGGGTCATAGTGAACTGTTTCATAGAAAATCATCCTTGCTGATGCTAGATTGGGAATAAGAGTTGAATAGTACATATCTGAAAGGTTGCAGGAGAAGATGCCTAAGCAAGAGCCTTAGGGTAATCAGGTGCATACTGAAAGCAGTGTGAATGCTATTTAGGCTAATCTAATCTTCGCATAATCATGCATCTTCAAGACAGTCTAACAGTTCTGATTTCATAACTGATAAACTGAAAGCACAAGGATATCTACCTTTTACTTGCTTCTGCCTCTTCTGCCACATGTCTTTTAGCAAATACATGTACTGAAATGTGGAAGAGGAGGTCTGGGAAACAGACTCCATGTTGTTATTTAACTCATCAACACTGTTTCGGATTGGCCTTTCCTGTTTTATCAAAGCATCTTGCAACTGACATCCTGTAGGACACAATACACCCTACAAACAAAGAAAGTAGCTAGTGTTAGATGAAGGATTTGGGTTATGGACATTTCTTAAAACAGCACACGGTGAAAATTCATTGATATGATTAGTCAATATAAAAACCTATTGGATTTTCTATATCTGAGAACAGAAATTGTAGAGTCATCATCATACTCTTATAATAAAAGATTAAAAATAATCCATATGACTGGGTGCGGTGGCTCAAGCCTGCAATCCCACTACTTGGGGAGTCCAAAGTGAGGGAATTGCCTGAGCCCGGGTTTGAGAACAGTCTGGGCAACTTGGCTAAACCTCATCTCTACAGTAAATCAAAAAATTAGCCAGGCGTGGTAGCGTGCTCCTGTAGTTCTGGCTACTTGGAATGCTAAGGCGGAAGGATTGCTGGAGCCCAGTAGGTCGATGCCAGGGTGGCCGTGAGCATGCCACTGCACTCCAGCCCAGGCTACAGAGTGAGACTCCAAGTCAAAAACTAATAATAATAATCCTTACCACAGAAGAAATGTCATTAGGCTATGAAAAGTTTACCACCCAAACAGAGGAAGTGGAAAAATACAAAGTTAAATGGCACACCCATATATCCTAATTTGTAATCTTGTGCCAGATCAAAGAAACAAAAAAGGAAGCCTAAACCAAAGGCTCAATAAATGTATGCTTTATTTAAATAAAACATAATAAGTAAGCAAAATAACAATGATAGTGATGTGGGACATTGAAACTTTAGAAGGCCATGATGAATATAGGCTTTCTCTGCATGAGGGACCCACCACTGCAGGAAACATCACAACACCCACCAGTTCTGGGTCAGCATGAAGACAGCCTCCAGCATCAGGGGCTTTTCTTTCCGTTTTCTTTTGGGAGGCAGCTGCTTGGGCTGGACGAGCTCGATAGCCACCTCCACTGATGGGAGGTGGTGCGGGTCTCAGGCTGGGAAGCTCTTCTCTCTTCCTGTCAATGGGTCGATGACCACGGACATCCAAAGGAACCTACAAGAAACCAAGCAAAAATAAAATTCAGAATGTTATAGAAGATTTGAGGTGTACCTATTTTCTGATTGAGGTGATCACAACCCTGATGATTTGCTAGCTCGTTGGTGGTGTTGAATCAGTAGGTTACATACTGTTCAGAAACAGCAGAAAGACCAACTTCTCGTAAAGCTATTGTACAGTGTAGTTTTTAAAAAGAGGCATTAAGACAAAACTACATCAGATTGTGAACAATAATAATAATAACCTCAGATGCCTGAAATGTATACATTGGAACACAAAACATTGTAAGGAATCTATACTGTCAAGAAGAGTGAGTATTCTCAAGCCTCTTGGATTACTAAGTTCCTACAATTATTGTCAATCATTTCTGTATTTTCAATTTTTGTGAATTGACTATTAATCTAACTCCTATATCATCATATTTAAGAGACAATAAAGATTTATTAAAAGTAAAGTTTACTTAGAATTTAGTTAGACATGCTTTTACCCTAATGAGGTATTCTGGAGCCAGGCTGCTTGAGTTTCAATCTTGACCCTGTCACTTACTAGCTATAAGACCCTAGGCAAGTTACTTTATCTGTGCCTATATTCTTATCTGTAAATAAGGATAATAATAGTTTGTATATGCCTTACAAGATTATTGTCAGGATTAAATAACTTAGTTCATATGGTACCCTCAGAACAGTACTTGGCACATTGTAAGTACTCACTATTGTTTTCATTGGACACACAACAGATATTATACTCTAAGTGGCGTCTCCACTGTTAATTTCAATTTTATTATTTTCTACCAACAAAACAATTTGTAAAAGTCTTCTCTTGAAATTTCCTACATGATTTCTTTATTAAACTCCATGATTTTCTTATATTTAAAATAATTCTCAAGATTTGTGCATTCCAACTAAAATTATTTGCTAACTTAAAAAATATTACATTAAAACAAGATGGAGTGGAAAATAAACATTGCAATATAAAAGTTGTGACTTGGATTAACTGCATTATCATATGTTATTTGTCACCTGTTTATTACAAATAAAATTATAATTAAAAGTTTAAAAACAAATAAAAGTATAATAGAAGAAATCTATATTCTTTTATCTTTTCTTTTTTTTTTTTTTTTAGAGTGCCACTAGAGAGGTAGCATGGATGGTCTGACTTTCCTAGAGAAAAGAAAATAGAAAATACTTAAATTATGTGGGTATTTAGGTGATGAAGACCCACTTATTGAAATAACCAAAACTAGAAAATCCATTTTAAAGCCTAAGCTATTAAACAGAGTCTGTGAAAATTAGTTGGTAAATAAAAATGTGAACATGCTTTGCAAAGTATTTTACAAAAATGTAGCTTTACACATTCTTTAGGTTTTTCTTACCTAATGCTTTAATCAGACTTAGCTTAATTATATCTTTTTATATGTATACTCTGAAAATTAGAACACTTAAGTTCCCTTCTTAATCAACAAAGGATTCAAAATGAATCACTTCATAAAAACATTATTGTGTCTTCTTATTTCTTGTTATGATGATGCTGTGTTATATATAAAACATTTAAACATGATACATTTGATAATAAAATTTAAATTTCTTAAATATTTTTTTCTAAATGCATTTTTGATAACTTCAAACTAATAACAAATCAGCAATGGTAATTCTTGAGGACAAAAGTGTTCTACAAATAAATCAAACTGAACTATGTTTCATAACCATCAATAATAACAACACATACCACCTTTAATTTAAATTTTCTTATCTGAAGAGATATTTAATTTTCTATCATTACACTTAATCTATTTTTCCTTTTAGGATTAGTTATAATCCTCATTCATAAATAGTAATCTCAGGAGTTGTATATTACTTTCCATAAATAAAGAGAAATCTATATACAATAGGTTTTAAAATAGTGTTCTTTTCTTATTTTATAGTTTGTAAAATATTCAATCTTTATTCTATTGATTATACTCATGCACTGCTAGAACTAAATAAAAGTCATAGTACTTAAGATAACTAATGAGAAAAACACATCTTACATTAGCTAAGCCAGCTTCATCCTAGGAAAATAAAGGTGATAAACCAGAAAACAAGAAATTACTTTGTTTTTATATAAGAAATACTATCAAACATTCTTTTAATAAAATAATAAGTCACTGAGATTAACAATTCAATTTCATAACTACTATCAGTGCTATTTTCATCAAAACAACCATTGACATAAGATTATGACTGTTATACTTTATATTAATAATATTAGTAATAATATAATAATGCTTTTTAAAAAATCACCTCCTCATCGTAGTCATCAACAGCTTGGGACTTATCTAGAAAAACACACAACAGTAGCAATAATAGAAGCTTCATGATTTTAAATTTGTGGAAGCTCCAAGAAACCATCCTTTGCATGTAGACTTAACAGCGAGATCTTCAATCCTATATATACCTGGCTCCTCAGCTAGGAGTGACTTTAGAAATGGCTACCTTCTCTTAGTTAATATTTAATTTTTTGGTTCACTTGTTGGCTGAACCATTTTATCACTTAAGCAACATCTTCCCAGCAAAGCGTATTTGTTTGCCATACAACTATTGTGCTCTGTTAGTCTAGTTTAGAAAAACTAAAGTTCTTCAAGTCATTTAATTGGACAAAATAATGGGAAATTAGGACATTCCTAAAAGAGATGTGTATCTCATTTCTGGTAAATTAATGTGGATCCTGCACAAGCTCACAAAGAATGTGTGAGGAAAAAAAAAGTATTTTTAATCCAAACACAAAAAACTTGGCTTGCAAGGCATCCACTAAAATTGTTACTTATTAATGATATACCATAAATGCTTATGTTTTGAGACAATCATGTAATTCTGTTTTAAAGGGGACCATTAAAATCAAGAGTAATATTATATCATCACGTGTTTAGCCTTTCTTTTAGTCATTAATACCAAAATTACAAATTCATGTTCTATGCTATGATAGATAAACAGCAGAAAGAAAATGTCCAGATTTCTTTGTTTTTGTTCTAAACAGCTTTCATATTTTGTCTTTTGTTAATATAAATTAAAATGTTTAAAAACTTTTACACATTATTAAAATAATTAGTAGATTATAGATTCTTAAGTCAAAATGATTACTACAGTGATTAGATACATATCTAACATTCTATTTTACTATATTATATTATTTATAAAGACAATGCTATTTTAACATTGGTTAAAGCCTTCACACATCTACTTCAGTTAGTATGCTCACAGACTAAATGAGACCATTTTCAACTTCATCATTTCTCATAAACCACCAAATTCATCTCTTCCATCTGTTCACTTTGCAATCAGGATTAATAATTCCTACAACGATCAATAGGAAAACCAAAATCAACAACCCAAATCCCAACAGTTGTGTTGCTTCAAAGCATTTTCCGGTTTTTATATGGAAAGTGAAACATTCTCATTACATTAAAAAGAAAAAAATTATTAGAAAGATAGCAAGTTATCTGGGTTTGGATCAGGAGAGTGTTTAAACAGAATCATGAGAATGGCATGAAACTCGTTAAATTTCTTTCTTCTCTTGGTAACACAGGTTTCATTCCTAAATGTGTTTAACTCAGATTTATAGAAAGAAATTCTTCTCTTGGTAGCATAGGTTGTTTTCTCAAATTATTTTAATTTAGATTTATAGAAACAAAATATTTAGCTTAAATTTTTTAAAATACTTAAATGACTCCAAATTTGCATTCTCAGATTTGACTGAGTAATTCTGTACTTTGAGATTATTTTCTTTTGTTTTAATTTTTCATTGAATAATACATGATCTGATAGGAAAAAAATGTGTGTATGAACCAAAATAATATGCAATAACATTTCTTCCATAATAGAACTAAGAAAAAGTTTATTTTAATAATCTAGACAGGATTTTATTTTAGTGGTGTACATATTCTTGCTGATTTAAAAAGAACTGTTAAGAGGACTATAACCATTTTTTTATTTTGAGATAACATATTACTACTACATTTTAAATCACTGACATTTTATTAACTAGCAGTAGAATCATCGTTGAACTTGTAGAAGTTTGTAAATCTTATAGTTCATTTTAACATATAACAGATTTGTGCTCAATATTAAAATGAAAATTCCTGTACATTCCCCCTTCATTCTACTCCAACTGGCTTTCTTGTCATCCTCAGAAGGAAGATGGAAGAAAACTAGAATGTATGCTCCATTAAAGCAGAGACTTAATGTTCCTTTTACAAATAGTTTATTGAGTGCCTTCTGAGTGGCAAACAGTGTACTAGGGCCTGGGAATACATTGGTGAGCAAAATAGACATAGAGGTCATTCAGTGAATAATTGCTGAATGAATGAGTGAACTAGCCTTCACTGGTGCATGCCTCAGATGCCAAACTATGATAATCATTTATCTTATTTAATTCTTGAAACCAGTAAATTCTAGAGATGATGAAACTGAGGTCCAGAGAGGTTAAGTAAACTACCCAAGAGCATGTAGGTAGTAAGTGCTGGTATCAGGACTCAGCCCTTGCTTGTCTGACCCTACAGTCCACACTCTGTGACCATTATACCCTATGTTGCCCAACAGAATATAAACATGATAGAAAAAATTTGCCTGTGCCTTCTTTTTGTTTGTTTGTTGTTTGGGGGTTTTATGGGCCAGCTTCTTATCTTGGGACTACAGTGCCCCAGACTGGCACACCCATTCTTAGTTACATATATGGGTGTGGGTGTGGATATTCATGTCTGTGTGAGATGCAATGATAATGAGTTTCTTTATTTCTAGTTCTTGTTAGGTATGTTTATTCATGTAGAGTTAGTTATAGGCAGTTACACTAACATTCTATGCTTACAAAGTAATATTACAAAGTAGATAATTATGTTTGTAGAGAAAAAAATCACAGAAACTCCATTTACTGAAATATTTAAATGTCTTAGAATGTTGATGCCATTGGTGGAGGGAAAAGGGAGTACTATTTGTTCAGTTATGTTTTGAGGTCAATAGTGCAGTGTTCTTTCTATTAGCTGATGTCCTTACATAAGTCAAGGGCAATAAATCAATGACAGAAAACAGAGATGATCTATCCTGACCAGTAGCTCTCTGGCATGAAGGGCAAAGACTTGCCAGAAGTGGTTGTTAACACACTTGGTACTTTTACAATTCCTGTCAGGCCCAGTCTACATAGCACAAGGCAATTTGGGCTTAGCAACTATTTATCAAGCACCTATTTTGTGGTGGGAAGTATTCTAGGAGCCAAGGTTACCTTGGTAAAGCCTACGTCTAGAGGAAAAGACAGAAAAAGGAAACTACTTACAATTCTTATGCCAAGCCGAAGATGGGGAAGGTAAAGCTTTGGGACCAGTAACTTAGGGACTTGATCTCCTTCGGGGGAAAGGGACTTGAAAGGAAAAGGGTTGAGACCCTTGTGGCTTGAATGACTGCACAGTTTACGTCTCACACCTAGCACACAGAAATTGTTTAATAAATATCTGTTGAGCAAGTTTATGACTGCATGAATGAGTGAATGAATAAAATGAATACTGATTCCCTTTATCTAAGTAGGCATAGATTTTGAGATACTATACTGTCATTGTTAGTTTCTTTGTGTATTTTCCTTGTGTTCCCTTGAGCTACAATTTGAGAACCACTATCCAAAGGGAAATTAATACTAAAGAGTTGGAAGCCAGGTTAGACCAGAGCTTTTGGGGCAAGCCTGAGACCAGTGTGGTGATGACACCTGAGATTAGTGAGCCAACCTCAGTGGGAAAGCAGATGGCAGGGAAGAAGAGTAGGAGATAGCTCTGTCTCTTGTGGAAGGTCTCCCTCTATTGATTAAAAAGATGTTTTAAAAGATTTGCTTTTCTTTTTTTTTTTTTTTTAGTTGGAATCATACCCTGTTGTCCAGGCTGGAGTGCAGTGGCACACTCATTCCCGCCATAGTCTCCACCTGCTGAGCTCAAACGATTCTCCTATCTCAGCCTTCCAAGAAGCTGGAACCACAGATGCACTCCATCGCACCCAGCTAATTTTTTTTTTTAATTGTAGAGATGAGGTCTTGCCAATTTGCCCAGGCTGGTCTTGAACCCCTTGTCTCATTTCTGCCTCCCAAAGTTTTAGATTATAGGCATGAGCCACCACGACCGACTCAGTTTGATTTTTTGATGGGAGCTGACACAGAGCATGGGAGTAAAGGGCTCATAGGACATTTTCTCCAACAAGATGCAAATCACAGGGCTAGAGCAAAGACAGATGCTCTTCTGCTTCTGGCACATGGAGACAACCATCAAGGGTACAATGAACACCTCCTGGAGTGCTGCTCCCTCTCCTGGAATGATCCCTGAAATGCAGGAGTGGGGCTCCAGCAGTCCTGAGAACATTAGGACACCCCCACCTCAAACCACAGGCCACCAAGCCAGGGGCAGACAGATACCCTGCCCAAGCTAGCCCTAAAGGATTCTCTCTCCCAATTTGATATTCATAAACAAACACAAAAGGCAGAGAATCAGGTCAATTGGCCCAATGCTATATTCATGACAGCATTCTGGAGAGAGAAAGTCCAGCAACTGCAGCAGCAGAAATAATCAAACCTTTTAAGCCTAATTATTTGACTCTTCTCAGTCATATCTATGAGACATGTGATTTCCTTCCAATAGTACCAGCTTCACCTTATCTTTTTTTTTGAGTTGGAGTCTCACTCTGTCACCCAGGCTAGAGTGCCCTGGCACACTCAGGCCACCCCAGCAACGACCTGCTGGGCTCCCGTGACCCTTCCGCCTCAGCCTTCCAAGTAGCCGGAATGACTGGCGCGTGCTACCACACCCGGTTAATTTTTTATTTATTGCGGAGACAAGGTCTCCCAAATTGCCCGGGCTGGTCTCGAACCCGTGGGCTCATGCAATCCACTCACCTTGACCTCCCAAAGTGCTGTGATTGCAGGCTGAGTCACCGAGCCCGGCCTTATCTTTTATTAAGTTAGAGTGAGATGGCTTTTGGAGTTTTTGAGAAATTTTATTCATTCATTTATTTATACATTCATAAACTTGCTCAACAGATATTTATCAAATACCTCGTATGTGCTAGGTGCGTGATATAAACTGCACTATCATTAAAGATCAAATTTTTAGGAATTAGACTCTCATTTTTTAAAGCATAAATCGAACATTAGAAAGAGAAGTCCTATTTTCAATGAATTTTCAAATAATTATTTTCAAAGAATTATCATGATAATAGACCACTAAAAGTGTTTATGTATTAAGTATATTTACTGTATCACCAGCAGTAAAACTCCAGGGAAAAATGGGGAAACTTTTATTTTATTTTGGAGAACTTCAGTAATATTTATTTTAAAAGGTTTCATCATTTAGTAACTGATTCTTGAATTAGACTAACAAAATTTTCCATAAAATGTGCCCAGGATTGGTATACATATATACCCAGAACATTT